GTAAGATCAGTTGCTTTTTTAACTCAATTATTTAGGTTAAGACAACACGTGTGACATGTCCAGTGGTCATGCGGTATGGACGTACGTGAGGATAAAATCGTAATTATAGAATGTAACACTTTTGAAGTGACATCGTTCCTCGAATAATGGCCAAATCTAGCCATTTCGTAATCTTCGCTAAACAATTTTACCAAAATACCCCTGGCTGACTTTGTTCTTACTTTTGTTGTAGAGGGTGGAGAGATTGATCGGGCGGTTAGGATTTGAGGATGGGTTGAGATTCGAGATTGATCTGCCTTACGTTGACTTTTTATTGAGGGTAAAACGGGCAGAAGATATCGCGAAGGTGAACGGCACATGGGAAACGCCGCACCCTTGGCTTAACCTCTTCGTGTCGAAGCGTGACATCGCAGATTTTGATCGGACAGTTTTCAAAGAACTCGTCAAGAACGGAGTCGGTGGGCCCATGCTGGTCTATCCTCTTTTGCGAAGCAGGTAATTTATAGCTCTCCTCTTAAGTTTTTACTAGGACCCATCTTTTTCTCTTTGGTTCGACAAGGCATCTAATCTAAAAGACTATAAGAAGTTTGGTCCTAGTTAGATTTTTATGGCACATGTGATGATTAGTCGTGCTTAAAAGGCTCTCCATAAGTCGCTAGACGTGTGATCAACAAATTCGTCGCCGATGTGGCACACGTGTCTCTTTAACGCATAGATTCTGTAGGCAAGATTTTAAACACTCGAATAAAATTGAAGAGAAAAAAAATGATGAATACGGTAACGTATAAAGGTATTACGGTTGGGTGGGTGACGGAGTTCTAATGCAACCGTCGTTAAGATTAGCGGAAACGAGTTGAAAAAAAATTGAAAATTTGTGGGGACAAAGATACGCTTGTGGGACCCATTAATGAGCTAATTAGAATTTCAGTTTTAAGTTAAGTTTATTTGTTTTCTTTTCTAAAATAAGCCTTTTGTAGTTTACTGAGGGTTAATCTCGTCTTTAGATGTTTTACTTTTTGTGGACAAATGTTTATTGCAGCAAAGAGCCAAATAATCTGAGTAATTTTATTGACTAATATACCCTTGATATTCGGCTTTATGATGATTTTAGAGTGTTTTCTTTTGATCTTTATAAAAAAAAGTAATTTTGGTCGGCTGTTTTTTTTTATAATTCAGGTGGGATGATCGGACATCCGTGGTTATACCGGAAGGAGATGTATTCTACATTGTGGCATTGCTTCGGTTCGTGCCGCGGTGTACAAAAGCTTCATCGGTCGAGAGAATGGTAATTCAAAACCAAGAGATCGTTCAATGGTGTGTGAAAAACGGAATAGATTACAAACTGTATCTTCCTCATTACAAGTCTCAAGAGGAATGGATTCGCCATTTTGGAAATCGATGGTCGAGATTTGTTGATAGGAAAACTATGTTTGATCCAGTGGCTATCCTTTCACCGGGTCAAAAGATTTTCAATAGGTCTCCTTGACCCCCCCCCTATATGCTTCCTTTTTATATATCTTACATTCTATTCTTGAATTTTGTGGGTCTAATGTA